GGTTAAAAAATTGTTATCAAGTCTGGGACTCAACTTTACCCAAAAGCAATTTATTGAAGAATTACTGGGATGAGATTACAGATTTCTTCCACGATTATTCGTCTCGTTTATCACTAAGTTAGCTTTTTAAATTATTGGTCTTTTGGAACCCCGTTGTTTTACAACCTGCAATAAAAAGTAAAATATACCATACAAAATATCGGCCCCGCGTGGATTAAACTCAAAACGCCTTATGATCCAACAGTTGGCATTGTCTTTGCCATTCTAGTTCGCAACGAGACACGTAGAACTCGTCTTACGCTTTGAAAAGTCCTTTCAAGAGATAAGGCGGCAGGAGATTATTCAATAAACTAAATTAGTTGTCGTTTTAAAGATCATATATGAGCTTGCGATTTCGCGGTAAGTTGAAAGATGTTGTGAAATTACTTTCACGCGCAACCTTGTTCGCGAATCCTTTTTCCAATTACCACGATAACTTCGGCTGAAATCCACGCAACACTTTCGTAACATGTTAAATCACCTGTGACTTTCATTCGGGAAAGATAACTTTGATTTTTTTTCTACCTAACAAGCTCTAAAATAGCTTGGATTTTTCCTCTTAAGAATAAGCAAATGTATAGAAGAGATGCTGGCTGGAGGTGACTTTTGGATAAATAATTTCTTTTTTTTTTCGGGCTCGAGGAAGTTTGTTTTACACTCTCTCTAGAAGAGGAAGATAAACTACCGCGGTGCTTTCTATTCATATAGCAGTCTTGGAAAAATTTCCATTTGTACATCTCCTTTTCCGTTTTAAATTAAGAGTTGTACAACAAAAATATTTATGTACACCCGTACACAGATTGAAATGGAACTTATCATAACTTGGTTTAAGTAAACCAGACTGTTGATTTATTAAAAAAGTTTTATATTGTTATGGTGCGATAACATAATTTGAAAACTGCGTGCGCCAGAAAAAAGTTTCTTTCTTTCGACATGTGATATCGTTACACAATCGTTTTAATCAATAGCTCCTATTCTATATCGTTTGCGCAAGAGTATAGAATAAAAAGATATAAAGTAAATTGAATACAAAATTTACTAGAGAAAGAGCCCAAGCAGCAATTATCTTGTCTTTGTTCGAGCTGTGAGTAATCATTCAGAGAGGGAAAGGTTCCTCAGTTTAGATCCGTATTTCTTAAAAAGACTTAAATTAGATAAGAGACTGCCGTGAAAAGAGAGTGCAGAACTATTTTGATGTCTAAGTTATGAAACGTAAAAAACTTTTCTTCTTTGTCATTGATGTAAAATTTATGAAAAATTAATAACCATACCAATTGGTCGAGCGAGAAATTAACCCGGGCAAGTAAAACTGAGGCCTTCCTTGTACAAAGGGCAAGCTTAAATTTCGGGGGTTTTTTTCAGCTCTGAAAGACTAGTAAAGTTAGTTTCCATTTTGTGACGTTTACAGGTAAAAAAACTTTCTCTATAATTATGACTGAAATGTATCGAAACAACATCAAATCTTAAAGTAAAGGTTACAGTAGCAGGCTTGGTTTCAGCCAATATGATCACAAGGAGGCTTTAAGGTGATGTTACACGAGACGATTCGCAACGACGAGTTTTAGCGCAACACAGTGCTGCAATGTTGGAACAATGTTGTAACCATTCAAAACAATGCAGTTGCAACGTTGTGTTGCGCTAAAAATCGTCGTTGGGAATCGTCTCGTGTAACATCACCTTCGACGCAAACTGAATTCGCGCTGTTTCGAACTCAGTCATCGCTCTTATTCTATTTCAGTCAATTTGTGAAGTGTTTCGGGAGTTGATTGTAAAGGACTGTTCCGAAGTTCAGAAAAAGAAAAACAAAATTATTGTCTTGCGTTCACTCCTTTATAAAACGTGAAACTAGGAAGTTCTACGTTGTGGTCGCGCAACAACGGCAAAGAAATGTACACTTAATTAAAAGCTTGGTGCACGTGCAAAGTTGTTGTTTTGCTAAACTGAACCTCTTGCTTTTGTACAGTTCTTATTGCGGTCGCTGTTGTCGTTGCTTAAGCTCCTAGAATCACTGAAAGATTTTGGCAATTCTGCTTTTTTACAAAAGGGTCAATTTTGCTAGTTAAAAAGAGCAGAAATTTCAAGTTTCTGTGTTTATATTTCATAGCATAAAATTCAAAATTGTTACCTATTTTTTGATGCTGCTCGATTAAAAAGGTACCTTTTTTATGAAAAAAGGCAGGTATTGTCACCTTCCAAGTGAAAATATTTTGATGTCAATATTTTTCACCTTTCATCCATTTCTCACTTTAGCCAACAAAGCTCTACAACGTGAAAAAGTTAACTTTTTTCGGTTACAAACAATCTCTCTAAAAGCGCGAAAAAGTTCCCTTTTTGCGGTTAGAAGCGATGTTCTCAAAATCGCGAAAAAGTATCTTTAAAAATAAATTGTCAAGCTATTGGGAGGACATTTAAAATCCTACTAATTGACAGATATCAACCATTTGGCGTCATTTTAATGAATTTTTTTGTTTAAATTCACTACTAGTAAGTGATGGCCAAATATATGGAATATATTAATTACAGAGACATAATAGGATTAATTGTAATTTGTTTACCCACAGAGCACGTAGGAGTTCTTAAGAACTCGTTAAAACGTGTCCGTGAGCTCCAGACCGAATTGGAATTTGGAAATGTTGGTTTTTAAGGAGAGGGAAAAACCGGTGTACCCGGAGAAAAACCTCTCGGCGCAAAAGACAGAACCAACAACAAACTCAACCCACATAGGCGTCGACGCCAGAATTCGAACCCGCGGGGCACATTAGTGGGAGGGGAGTGCCCTCGCCACTGCCCCAATATTGCACCCCCATATGAACCAGTTTATCCATTTGGCTGGTAATCAGTATTTTTAGATCACTTCTATTTTTTCGCTTTTGATCGACTAAAAGGCGCCAGCTATTTTTTTTTAATCCCGTTGATTCCCTCTTGTAGATTATTTCATATAGAGCGGAAAAGACGCCAATAATGAACGACGCAATAGTTACATTATTGATGGTCAAGCTATTGGGAAGTCGTTAGAAATCTAACAGATTAGGTGTCAACCGTTGGCGCCCCTTTAGCGTCAGCGAATGATACACTGACCGGTTTAGGGGATTCTAACTTCCGTTTAAATCAAATTTCGCACTTTTGGAATCTAATTGATAGAGTAAAAGTTCCTATCAAAGCGCAAAAAGGTACCTTTTAGCCCCTCAGTGCAGGAGTTTTCTTCGGGCGCGCGAATTTTTTGCTCGCGAAAGCGCATGTTGAAACTCGAAAAGAGGGGAGAAAATGGGGCGAATCAAAAGGAGCGGGGTAGGGGTCGGTTAGGGAGAAGAGAAAACATTTTTTTCTCCCCTCCCCCACCCCTCTTTCCTTCTTTTGCCCTGGCACCTACCCTTATGGTTACTATTTTTACTCTCCCTAATCTTCCTCCGTCATAACAAAGATAGAGGTTACAACAGTTCGAACATAAACAAGCAGCTTTCGCCCGCCCAAAATAAGCCTGCACTGCAGGCTAGGTACCTTTTAAAATAAATAGCCAAAGAAAACAGCCGACAATTCGCGACGTCACCACTGGTTTTACCGACGAAACGACGTCTGAGAAACGAGGGCAGAAATTTCATACTGATGACGTGTCACTACCAAGATCTGGGTAGTACTTTTGATTGGCTGAAGCAAATTTCTCTCGCCGCCCGACCAATCAGAAGCACTAGCGAGATCTTGATGGTGACGCGTCATAAGTATTGAATTTCTGCCCTCGTTTCGCTGGTAAACCAGTGGTGGCGTCGCCAAATGTCGGTTGTTTTCTTTGGCTATTTATTTGATATTCAAGAACTACAACAAGCAAATAGAAAACAAAATATAATTAAACATCATGGTTTATTTAAAGCCTGAACATATTGAGAGGCCGAGACCTATACCGCAGGGTTATTAAGAGGTTCCTCTTTTAGCTGAAAACGCTAAAATGATTTATATGGTAATTTGTCTGTTGGAGATGTTTTATGAATATTATGCACTAGTTAACAGATAATTCATCCGAAAAACTTTTCCTCAGACGGAATTTTTGTTCTGCTAAACAAAACAAAATGATGACCTTTTTTCACTCTTTCAGAAACACCAGTATAGCCTTTTCAGAGCAATTCTTTGTCAATTAAACGGTTCTACTGTCGGGATTGGTTATATGTACTAAACCATGACATACCAAGATCAAGACATTCTTCCATTCTTGCGTCGACGACACTCTCGTAAATATCAGAAAAATGTCATCTATAAATTAATTACTTGCACACATGAAAATTCGTATAAAAAGAGATGTTATAGAATTTACAGGCTGTATTCTGCCATTGGCATTTGAACGAAATTTTTGAAGGAAAAGTTAAATTTCATTCACCCAATAAAAATTTAATCAACTTTTTCATTGAGTTGAAAAGAGTCAGCTAACTCCCAGAATCAATTGTCTCAGTTTCTCAGAAACTAGATCTGTTGATCTAGCTTTTTAAATCTCTTGAGGCTCTCTTCTTCCAGTCGCTTTTCTTAACAAATACGACTTTCTCACTCGAGAAGCCGATAGATGGGAAACTATATGGCTCATAGCTGTAGTCAACACAACGACATGGTCCGGGCTAATCTCGTACCCAGATCTCCAACGGCCAAGATTAGGCCGAGATTAGGTCTGGGCAGGAGCCTATCAAAGTCTGGGCCGTAAGTACTGATGTTTTGCCTGGATGTAATTTCTTTAACCCTTTAAATCCTGGGTGGCGAAAATCAATTTTCTCCAAACTATATCAATACAAAATCAAGAGAAAATGTTGTGAGAATATATAAAGTAATCACTTCATAGAAAACGCTTTGATCTTCAAACAAATTCTCCCAACTAATTCATTGAGGAAATGTGTATATGGACATCAGTCATGATAATTTTTATTTGAATATTGGGGCTTAAAGTTAAAGAGCCGGCCGTCGGATATGTTCACTGTATACACAGGTTAGTTTTTGTTGCCAGGGGCGGCTTTATTCCTCCATTGCTCCATTTCTTCATTACTGAACTTCACGTCTTCTCCAATAACATAAAATGGGGCCCAGTCAGAGATCCTTTTAAACTCTTCTCTCCCTTGTAGAGTTAACATGCTTCGCTGTAACGCTTGACACACAGAGAGTCCTTGTTTGGTCAGGTGATTATAAAACAGTTCCATGAAAGATAAAGTGGCTTCGTCATCGATAGCCCACAAAGACACAACCACTGCTCTCGCACCAGCCCCCAAGAATGAGCGAGCAATACCCACAACCCCTTCGGCCCGTATGTCTCCTTGTGCAGTTTGACAGCAGCTGAGAACTACCAGACGAGCTCGCAGGCTCAACGAGGCTATATCTGCGCATGTCAACATATACTCATCCTCGGTAGGCAGGCGGTTATTTCGAGCGGGGTCTGGATCTGGCGCGAGAACAATCTCGCCTTTGACCGGATCCCCATGGGCAGCAATGTGAACTATGCTTACTTTAGAAAGACGTTTCATAACGGCGGACTTGGTAGCCATGCGCTGTATGAGGGGAGCAGAATTGAGGAGAGATCCAACTAACTCAGCTTCTCTTTGCGCCCCAGGTAGNTTCTCTCCCTTGTAGAGTTAACATGCTTCGCTGTAACGCTTGACACACAGAGAGTCCTTGTTTGGTCAGGTGATTATAAAACAGTTCCATGAAAGATAAAGTGGCTTCGTCATCGATAGCCCACAAAGACACAACCACTGCTCTCGCACCAGCCCCCAAGAATGAGCGAGCAATACCCACAACCCCTTCGGCCCGTATGTCTCCTTGTGCAGTTTGACAGCAGCTGAGAACTACCAGACGAGCTCGCAGGCTCAACGAGGCTATATCTGCGCATGTCAACATATACTCATCCTCGGTAGGCAGGCGGTTATTTCGAGCGGGGTCTGGATCTGGCGCGAGAACAATCTCGCCTTTGACCGGATCCCCATGGGCAGCAATGTGAACTATGCTTACTTTAGAAAGACGTTTCATAACGGCGGACTTGGTAGCCATGCGCTGTATGAGGGGAGCAGAATTGAGGAGAGATCCAACTAACTCAGCTTCTCTTTGCGCCCCAGGTAGGCCAGAGGGGTTAACCTCTTCACCTCTCCGGCAGACACGCCCTACTAGTGGATTACCAATCACAAGGGCCCCACCCTGGCAATCTTGCTTGGAACGCTCAGAAATAATCGCCAATGTCTCGAGTGAGGTACACATTTGTACACTATACTTCTTGCAAAGAAAAATTGCTCCACCATCCAGTAAAGCAGAAAAAGGAAGTCGATAGAGGGCGGCTTCTGGAATGATCAACAGCTTGTTTCCTCGGATGAGATGCTCAACTGGTTTGATCAGGATGTTGTATAACTGGCGTAGAGGATTGCCTTGGTCAGAGACATCACTGAGTTTAGTTTTCACGCAACTCTTTGGAACACCCTTTCTGCTGGAATCTACTTCAAAATCTTTGAAATTTCCTGAATGTCTAACCGGATGAATCCAGGGTACTGACGCTGACTCGTGGACAGCAAAAACATCTTCGTAATCGTCTGCTTCGGAAGCGGATATCTCTCTGTCTTCAACTTCTCCTTTCAGTTCCTCTCTGATCTGTGTTAGTGACGTATCAACAAGGTTCATTAGCGCCCAGTACTTTTCAGTTTCTTTCTCTCCCCATGGTCGTACCCAGTCCACGCAGGTGTTTGAAACAACCCAGATACACATCTGACCATTGAAGAATGAGTAGAAAAGTGTAGTCAGTTCATCATCCTCTCGCAGTTTATCAACAAACCTGGAAACACGTTTAGCATCTTCTGTGCCCTGCTCCTTAATTAGCTTGTATACTGACTTCACTGCAAACTTATGGTATAGAAGATCTTTCAATGCCACGGCACGCCCGCGATCTTCTACCAACAAAGCATCCCTTCCTTCGCCATCTTGAAGCATCGTGTAAGCAAGAGCTTTGTACACAATGACATGCAAATCCCCGATTGAAACTTTAAGATTTTCTTGATTTCCCAGGTGCGAGCGCAGTTCTTCATAATCATTAATGCATTCTTGGTAAATGCTACCAGCCGCTTTGTACTCCTGTAACATGCGCAGACAGTAGGCACTGCCTAACATGGCGTGATAAGTAGGCAGCCTCATTCCAGATTCCTTAAACAGGCGTTCAGCTGTCCTGTGATGAGTAAGTGCTTTTCTGTAGTCTTCGCTGAACCGAGAAGCGAGCCCTAAGCTGTACTCTGCACGAGCAATCAGCGCTTTGTCTCCAATTTTCCTGGCAAGATTGGCGTTCTCTTGAAAGCAGGTTAAACTGGCTTGGTTATCACCCAATGTGCAGTAGGCGTTTCCCATTCCACCGTTGGCGGCAAACTGCCCTCTGAGGTCCCCTAACACTTTAGACAACTCGAGAGACTTCTTTGCATATATCAGAGCTTTCCTCGCGTTACCAAGGTAACGATACACATTACTCAAATTAGCGTAAGTGCCGCACTCGTCTTGCCTACTTCCTGTCGCCATAGCAACATCAAGCGATTTTTCGTAGCAGCCAAGAGCCCGAGAGTATTCCCCGACATCGCGGTAGCAAAGTCCCAAATTAGTGTGAGCGTGAAATTCCAGATCCATGTCTCCTCTCTCTCTTGCAAGGTGAAGTTCTTTTTCGAAGCACTCTATAGCTTGACGAATTTGTCCAAGATTTCTGTACACTGCGCCCATGTGTCCGTAGGTCTTGATTTTGAAGCGAGTATCTCCTAAATCTTCGCATATATCCAGGCATTTTTGAAAACACCGGATTGATTCAGCGAAACTTCTCTGTTGGCTCTTGGCTGACCCAATCAGAGCGTAAGCTTCTGCCATTATCTCCTGATTTCGTCTTCTTAGTTTAGGATTTCCTTTACTTGCTCCAGTGCTGCCTTCTTCACTTTCAAAATTGTTTAAAATTTCTAAAGCGTTTTCGTAATAGGATACCCCACGAGCCACGTCATTTGGCATAAAAAACATGCCCAAGCAGGCCAAGGAAGCTGCAACAATGGTTGGATGGCCCGTGCTTTGTGATATTTTGAGGCATTCTGTGAAAACCGAATACGCTTTTTGCTGTTGTCCACTTTCAAGTAGTGTCTTTCCAAAACTCAGTGAAATCTCTATTGAAGGAACAACCACAGATTCCATTCCAGCCACATAAATCTAAAATACTGGAAAACAAAAAAAGTATCGTTTAAGTAACAAAAGTGACAATAACAGACTTCTCGCCTTGCAAAAAAGGCTTAATAAACATCTTTAAAAGTTGTTTAGTCAGCTGTTTAGCTAACGACGGACCGGATTACAGAATTGTTTGTTTCAAAAAAGCCTCGAGGGGTACTTCCTACAATGCCCTACAAGGGGAATGAGGGGTGGGGGGGCTCCGCCCGAAAGGGGTACCTTTTTCAGGGCTACAGGTGTATAAAAAGGATAGGGATTTCATTACGTATATGAATGGGTAGGGAAATCTGTCATTTCGGTCTGTAATAGGACCAAAATGGGTAACAAATGCTTAAGACGCAAGAAAACGTCATAGTTTAAGGATTTTTTATTCATATCAAAAGACCGAGCATTGTGAAAGGGGTACTAGTTGTCAGTAAAAGGTATATGAAAGGGGTACCTTTTGTGGCAAAAAAAGGTGTATAGAAAGGTAAGGGGTGGGACATCAGGGCGGAGCCTTCCTGTAGAAAAAATCGGTGAGTACTATACCCCCTGGAGCGAAAAATTTGCTTAATGATTGTTGTCCACTGCAAACTGATTGGTTACCAACTTTCAAGAACTTTGATAACTGAAAGCCCAAGTTAAAGCATATAAATTGGGGTGATTTTCATTTCGTTGAACCTGGTTTAATTCAATTACTTTAATGTTAAGGGGGTTTTAGTTCAGAACTATTTTTCTTCATTCGTTTTCTCGCAAAGGTTTAGGTGGATAACACCCTAGTCCCCAGTTCTCCAACGACACTGTAAGAACAATAAACCGGAAGCTAGGACTGTGCTTTAAGGGAATCGACCGAAGCGAAGCGAAAGTATTATTTACCTATTTCAATATACTTCCTGAGAGCCTACTTTAAATAGCTGTAGAACACTACTTAACTTCTGTTTGTCTTCCTCAATGTCTACTTAAAAGGACCACACACAGCTCAGTCAGCATCGGCTCCTGACACAGTACATTTCGATAATCTAAAGTTAACTTAGTTCGCCCACATCTCGTCAATCATGCGTATAGTGAAACCCAAACATCAGCCGAAATAGCTTTCGCACGGCTAAAATAATTATTTCGTAGCAATAGAAAACAAAGGGCTGTTCATGACGCTGCTCAATATTGAATATGTTGAGAACCGTTTACCTAGAGATCTTTCTTGATATATATGCTACTCGCGGACATCAGTTACGCTTCAGGATTTTTCCATCAACTAAAGAGTTTTCGTTATTTTGTGCATAATTTGAGAGCACACATCAAATTTTGCACCAAATTTGACGGGTGAACCTTGTCAGTATTCCTTTCAGCCAGCTGATGATACAGTAGTATAGCTGCTTACCTCTCGATACTGGGACCTTGATCGGCTTGTCATTGAAAATTACATGATCAATTATGGGTTACGCGATTAGCCTTCAAAGACACTCACAAAAGCTATTTACCTCGCTTTCATGCGTTCTCCTTTCTCTTGTTTTGTCTCTCGTGATGGCTTTTCAAAAACAAACAGATTTGCCACAGAAATAGACTGCAAAACAATCGGTTTTTTTTTTTTTTTTTTTAGAAATAGACTGCAAAACAATCGGTTTTTTTTTTTTTTTTATCAAAATCAGTAAAGAAATCGGTAAAGCGTGGCGTAAGAATCTCTCAGCCTCGTTCCAGACCTTTTGTTTGACCGCTCGCGCGTACCTGAATACGCAAAAATACGGACTGTTTTGCAGTCTACCACAGAAAAAGAACATATTGATTTTATCAGTGATTTAACATTCAATGACTACATTACTAGATTTGAATCCGTAGATGTAGTATTTCGAAAGAGTGCTGAAATTTTCTATTGCACTTACTGGCGGTTTAGGAAAGAAAGAATGCCTTTGCACGTGAAACATGATGTTTTCAACAATTTCGAGTACGTCCTAGAGCAAGTATTTGCATGGCAAGTGTAGTTGGAATTTCCCACTTAAGAAACTCAAGGAAGAATGGGTACAAGAAGAATGGGTTGAGTGACGCGAATTGCGGGATTGTTTGGGTGAACGAGCGTTAGTTATGATTGGTCGATGGTTTAGAATGGAACTCTTGCCCATCCAGAAGTCGTTGCGCGGAAAGCTTGTACCCATTCCCCTTAAAATTCTTAGTGAGAATTCATGGTTCACATACGAACTATTAACAACTGGATAGTCTTTGTTGTAAGGCAACCTCGGGAAACGACCGCTTTTGAATATCTTTATGGTGGCCTCTCTTGACCTTGATGCTGGACAATTTACATTAAAATTAAATCAATATCTACACAAATTGCAGTGCATCAGAAACTTAGATAAGTCTTACATAGATTTAAAGTTCTGTTTAGTTCTATTCTCCGCCAGTCTGAGTTGACGATCGAGGTCCACGGAAAATTGAAAATTGATTACTCTACAGAAAGTTACAAGAATATCTTGCACCCAAACCAGTAACTATCCGTATTTACTGGTTAAGTGCCTGCCGCTCTCGAATGAGCGCTGCGCCCTCCTTGTTCATTGTTTCCTTTTAAAAATATTTTTGTTGAAGCTGATTTGACTTATCAGAGGGAAAAGTGGACCTTATTGACGCTGTTATCATGAGTTTCTTTTTTTTTTCAACAAAACAAAGGAAATGAAATCGAAAATATAAAGCGTCGTGTCATTCAGTAGCGAATGAGTTGATATAAACCAAAAGACTTCATTCAAGAAGTTTAATTAATTAGCGCCGCGTCGCTTTATTTAAGTGAATACAGTATTTTATCAAATCTGGTTCAAAATAACGGCACATGGACTGCATGAGAGAGAGTGTGCTTCATGAACGTTATCGAAATTAGGCTGGGTTTACACTAGCGACTAAAACCAGAGGAGACGGAAGGAACGTTCAGTTATTTTCCTTGAATAAAACGTCAACAGAGAGACGGAGACAAATACAAAAAGGCATCTCGACGGAAGAAAAGGAAGACTTCCTTTCCAATATTTTTTTACGATTTGCTTCCGTTTTCTAGCTTAACGGATGATTTGAAATTAGATTTTTGCTTAAAGTAATGTATTGGCAAAGTCTGATGATATTCATGAATTTTTTAACAATGTTTAATATTTTATTGGGTTTCTTGCCGATAGAGTTTTAACCTTATACAAACTCCTATGTTCCTCTACCGCAAGCCCTAATCCCTCCTAACCTAGTTCTTAATTCTTGCATACAGAAGTAGCCCTCGTAGATGATGTAAAGTTATGACCTTAGAAGATTCCGCGCGTTCTGGTAGTTCTGTTCCTGCATTTCCATTTCCTCTTCTTTCCGCCTCCATTTTCTTTGCCTCTGAGTCGGTATACACATTAATCAAAGCCTTGTTGAAACTATTTAAAGCCATTTTAACTATTCAAAAGATTTGATTTATTTTGAAATTAGGTATTATGGGTGAAACTCAACAACATATACACTGATAAGCTTGATCTAAATCAGTTAAAGAAAAATCAACGATTATTAAATACTCATAGTTTTAAGTTCGAATTTAAATGTAAGTAACCAAATCTGTGGCCGACGAAGCTTTCAAATATATATATATATATAAAAAACAAACAAACAAGGAAAAAGAATTTTTTTAAAATTTGATTGCACAGGTTTAAATTGAATGCTAACAATTATTAATTCATATCTGCCTACTAATCAGTTTTCAAAAGTTTACAAAATGTAAAACTGTAACGTTTTTATACATGTATTATTTAAGTAAATTTTGGCCCCTAAGGTTTAATAGCTTGTTTTGATTGGAAACGATTGGCCATGTAATCTGAGTGATTTTTATTTTATTTTATCCCTTGACATCTTTCCACTTTCAGTGGTTCTCAACTTTGTTATTTATGCAGTCGCAGTTCGTAGACTCTTAGATTTAATAATTAAGAGGTTTTTTCCTGTAGTGTGTTGTGGTACACTAAGAAGTCTTCCATTCTGTCTCTTCATTCAATTGTAAAACTCGTAAGAGCTTCAATAACCCAAAGGCTGGGTTGTATATTCAATCAGTTCAAACACATTTTCATCATTTCTCAGGACAACTAGCCGTATGGAATCTCTTACATTCCGCTTAGCTCGTCTCGATGATTTCGATGAAATAGTAAAACTTTCGGAAGGAATCTACGAAGGACACGATTATCTTCCGATGAAATTTCACGAGTGGCTTCAAAGAGACAATTTACATATTGTCCTTGCCCATTCTAAGAAGAAATTCGTTGGTCTTTCGGCCTATTTCGTCGTAGACGACGGTAAAACATTTGTCCGTCGAGCTGCAAGAATTCTTCCCGAGCTTCGTGGGCAAGGTCTTGTGAGGCCATTAACCGAGTATATAAGAAAGCACGCAAGGGCCCATTACCCTTACGTACAAAGAGAAAGATTTACTACCAGTTTTGAACACGTTAGCTGCATTGAGCAAACAAAACTCCTCGAGTGTGATGTCTTGGCATATCATGTTGAAAATAGATTCTTTACTCGCGCTGATATAATTAACGAAAATACGCCCAAGATTGTGCCATGCTCGAGAGAATTCTTCTGCGATGTCGTCTTGTCATCTTTCGGGACGAAAGCATTTTTCCCAAAGAACGTCATTATCGTCAATTCTTGTCCTTTTGTTCCTGTACGATCGAATATCGATTACATGCTTCAAGAGGGCGATGACATGTTTGTAGAAAAATGTGACAATGGCGTTTTTCCGAGATCATTCAGTTTTGGGTCTTTATCACCGAGAGTAAAATTTGTGCATTGGCTTGCCTCTGTCTTCACTGACGACCCTGCACTTTTTGAAGCGCATCTGCTTCGCCAGTTCAGAAGAGCAGGCCAATTGATCAAGAGTGATTTTGTTTTCGTATCTTTCCAAGACAAAAGTTTGACTCCTGTCGGAAGAAGACTTTTGGAAGAGAAACTCCAGTTAAATGTTTGTGAGTATTACTTGAACAAGACAATGAAGCTGTATGAAAGAGACTCTACATCTTGAAAGAAGAAGATGCTTCACTGAGCGTCAACTCGGGCACACAATGCTAGCGATTTGGAGAAAACTTAATATTTCTTAACGAGAAAAGCAGCTGTTATTTTCGAATAGGTTTTCAATTTAAGGCATTCAAACATTTCTCTCTGATACATCTCTCTTTGAGTCGACCCTAGGCGACAATTGCTCTATGTTGTAATCTAGTTTTGAGTGCGTCTATCGCGAACTGTGCGTCGTACATTTGTAAGCACAATCCCTGAAAGCAACCCAAATACAAATGTAGACCACATTTTGTTGCTTGCTTTGAACTGGAACTGTCCATAGTATCAGGACTAGTCGTCCATAGTATTTTGCACATTCGCGACGCATCGACTCACGTTCGCGGAAATTGACTCTGGCTATAGTCCGAGTAACAAGCTTCAATTCGAGGCTCGTCCAAGCTCATTCATCTAAATTACATTTGCGTCGAATTCAAATCATCATTGCATCTGAGGCAATTTAACAATTACGAAAAGAAGCTCATAAAAATTAAAAGCTTCTACTGTATTCGAGAGAGGAAAAGTAATGACGTCACAAAAACTAAATTATGGGATAGGTTGACATATCATCAATCAATCAATCAAGATAGATTGACAGATTGACATTCAAGAACGAAAGAAAGAACGAAAGAACAAGGTGAAAAAAGCCCTCTTACCAAAAATCAGCCTGTTTGTTCTAATCGGTGGCTGTGGGGAGATATAAGCACTGTTAAAAAAATTAGCTTCTATAGTAACGGTTGCGATCCAAGCTAATTTTAGAAGGATTTGTATGGATTCATCGGAGGTTAACGGTGCTTATATCTTAACCCCAAACTCATGTTTTAAAATCAAAATCTGACAAATCATAGCGCAGGTTCTATCCCACCCTCTAGTCTAGGGCTAATTTTATTTAAATGCATTTCTTTCAAAATCATTAAAATTTGGACCTTTAATGTAAACATTGCAAACATAAAAATAGCTATCCAAGTGTTAGGACCTTGGAAGAAATGGGACTGATCTGCCGATTGCCGTTTCGTTTGGTAAATCATTTCCAAAGGAGAACGTGCATCGAAGGCACAAAAATGCTCATCCAATAGACCTTTTATTCACGATACCCACAATCTTTGCACGCGCCTACGGACTGATAGGATAAAAATAATGTCACGTGGTTTCTCAGGGGGCAAACAAGTGATAAAATTTGACAAGGCAAGAAATCGTGGTCGAGTTTGTATATTCTAGCCAACAGAAAATGAAGAACTTTTTATCTTAAGGACGATAATGGAAAATTATGGGTGGAAATCATCATTGTTATTATTTTAGATGCAGTTAGGGAAAATAAACAAACTCGACCGCGATTACTCGTATTAGCAAATTTTGTCACTTGTTTGCCCCCTGAAATACCACGTGACATTACTATTATCCCATCAATATCCTAAAGGGTTAGCGTTAGGCAACATCGGCTGAAGTCAGATTGCTTCTTTCAGTAAAATTACATGAAGAGCAACTTAAGTCCAACTTTACTGTGTAATATAAAAGTGAAATAGAAAAACTCCACTGTGATGCTTTGAACCCGGGTCACTTGCTATATAGCCTACATCCATATCCACTACACCATCGACGACTAGCTGCCAAATCCAGTAATTTTTAAAATATACATGTTCTTATATATGCCCTTGGTACCCCATTACAATATTTGAAAGCTAACCGTTTTCTGTTCAGTGCTTAACCCTAATCACTGCAGATCAGTGCTTAACTCTCTCCTGTGTTCTCTCCATTACTGGCGCTCTGTAGTTTTGGTTTCTTCAGCTATTCTAGCCTCGTTCTACATTCCAGTCTCGTCCATTATGAAAATAATGAGTTGTGTAAAATTCATAAGGTGTCCAATCTGGCTTTTATTCGATGTTATCTAATGCTAACCATCCTAAAGCGCGTGCAAAGATGGCGGGTAACGTGAATAAGGTCTATAATTAAAAACTGAATCATTGGATAACGCAATTCTAGAGCTCTGATTGGCTTAGCCATCTGGTATATGAGCCATTAGAGCGGTTTTCACTTGACTGTCGAATTGGGATTGGTTTTGGTTTTGGTTTTACTACGTCCTTTGGTTGGCTAGTGTATTTACTTTGGTTTTGGTTTTACGACAGTCAAATGAAAACCGCTCTATATACCATGCTCTTCAAATATGGTAACTGTACGCGTCTGCTAACAAAAAATCGGTTGTCTTTACAAATAAAGTCGGGAAGAATTCTCACGATTTATTTGACGTTTTTTAATGAAACAATTATTCCACTCGCGTTTGTTGGATATGAGACGATTATAGCCAACTCGTCGCTACGTGCCTCGTTGGCTACTGCCATCTCATTTCCATCTTGCCATAAGTCAGTGTTAATATCAATCTAGATCAAAATTAGTTATTAAGGAAGCAAGCAGGTGCTTCGTTTATTAATTTGTGTTCCCGAAGGTTCTCTAAAAGAAAAATTAAAATTAACAATTTTCATTGTGGATAATACTGAATAAAAGAAAGTAGTATTGAAAAGGTCTGTGGATGAGATTTTTATTTACTGGCCGCGTAATAAGATTTCGTGATGGGCTCCTGATTTCGTCGAAGACTTTTAAAAATGTCAGAACTATATAGTCTACATACAATAATATGTCTTCAGTTTAAATTGCAATTCTGGATCGGAGTAGCCAAGCCCTTCAATCATCTATTTAAACTGGCTGAAGAGCAAACAACAAAAATATATTTTCGCTGCATTTTTATTAGGAGAATGTTAACAGGCTTCACGGAGAAATTAATTACAAGCTCTTTTACATTACTATTTCTTAGTAACGAGTAGCGCGTTTGCTTAATTTTTTTTAACATTATCTGAAAAACCAAGAGACGATAAAACATGCAACAATTCTGTCTTTTTTCACGTCAAAATTACTGCTCACGATTGGGAACGACGCGCGATTTTTATCTCCACATTGCCAAAAGTTCGCAAACAACAGAGCAATTGTAATATAGGCATTAAGTTTGTGTGTCTAGATGCCTCGAATCTTGATTAAAAAAGTACCAACAAATTGACAGCTTCTGTCTTTCTAGAAATTTATCGCATTCATGTAAATTTGACATATGGAAAAATTTATCTTGTCCAGCGATAATTTCAGGTTCACAGAGTACTAATGAACGTTTGTTTTTGGCGTCTAACCCGCCAATCCCCATTAATACTTGGCGATTGAACGAACGATCGAACGCTAAATTGACACCCTCTTCAAATTGTTCGGAATTTTTAATGGTTTACCCGGTAGCTTACGACAGATTCATGAAAAATATACAGACCATCTATACTGAAAAGAACTGGGTGTGAAATTTATTTCTGTAGAATTGTGACACTTTAGTCTTCCCGTGAAAATGATCGCACCAAATAAATTTACTTCACTGGAGATTCAGAATCTTGACATTATTTTTCAATACTCCAAGGGGTTTTCATACGGATAAGAACTGAAACAAAGGTTAAGTAGACCAGTGTTACAACGTTTCGTCACTATAACAATATCGCAGTTAAATCCTCTTGTCGATTGAAAGAGTCACCTGCTTGCCCAGGATTAATTCAATTGCAAAAATAGAACGCAAAAAGAATATCAATTTTCCTTTAGAAGTTTCGCTCAATCCAGTCTTTCATGTGCTTTCATGTGGGGAGTATCAGTTGCTGTTAGTTCTCCAGTTTATTTTCTTGTAAAAGTGCCGAGAAAGAAATTCTTCTCACATTTTGCGACCATTCTGAGTAATTGTCGAATGCGCGAAGACCACGTTTCTGTGAATTGTTTACATACGAAGACCTTTAAGACGCTTCGTTTTGCGGGACAGTTCCTATAAAGCTCTCGTCGCCTTGAAATCGCCAGATCATTATAATATCGTTAGTACAATTCTTCTGAAAAGTTGTCCTCTAAATAGCTGGCCATCATTCTCCCCGAAGCTGTAATTATACACCTGTACGAAATCACCGCGAAATTCGTCACCGAGTGCTTTGTCCAGGGGGCAAAATCGTCCAATTTTTCGAGTGGCAAAATTTCACCGCCTTCTTTCCCTCCTCGAATTCTTGAAGTGTCTGTTTTGAATTCGTTACAATTGCGAAACAAAATAACTCAGCAAAAAGCAAAAGGCAGAAACGTGGTACCATAAAGCAATGGCACCGACAAAAAGCCCAAACGCCATATTGAGTGAAACGACAACAATAAACTCCTTTGTGGAACAGATGATTGTTTTGTTTGGCTATTGGTGGAGTAAAGGCCTGGTAATGATATTCTATCACGCATGTCTACTACTGCCGCTGACTGCCGGCAGCTCACCGGCGAAAAAGTAAAAAGTTCATTCTTATCATCTGTTTGGAAGGATTTCTTTACTTTTTTAAGCCTGATGAGAGCGATCATTCAACGTGTCACAGCTGCAAGTGTTTCTGGTTTGTATTTTGTGGCAATTTCTTTATTTTTTTATGTGCTGTAAACATTTCTTACAGGCCCGGTCGAGCCCGATACAGTTTTCACATGGGCCATTGCATTTAATATCCGTACCCCCCCGGTTGAAGACTTACTTTTTCTTACCTTTTCTCCCTACCCCTGAATATATGGTCCTTCTTGGAGCATTTGAAAACAACAGTTTGTGCATACAAAGCGTATTATGGGGGATTCCAAAATAAAGATTTGTCTGGGGCAAAATAGCAAGGGGCCCTGCGGTAAACTCCAGGGGTGGGGGGGGGGGGGGG